CGAATCGGTAGTGTTCATACTCGTAGTATCAGGCCGTACCGTCGCTATAACACAGCGATGGCCATTCCAATGGAGATCCAGCAAATGCCCACAACTCTATTCCTGACGCTTCTCTGACATATATATGTCGGGGACGAAAGGACGTCGAAGCCGTCCCTCCGGAACTTCGGGAAAATCCGTAATATTGCAATTAAAGTTTACAGTCCTAATTAAACAATTTTCCGTCATCCTGCCCAATTGTACTTGTTTCCGATTTGTGATAATAAACTTGGACTTAAGGCGACCACCAGTCGCCGAACGTAGCCGCGGTCAACGGGACGGGCGTTCCGTCCAACAAAGGCGCGGAGTTACAGTATGACCCTCATTAAAAGAAACACCCATAGAGGTACTTGACAGTAAAACATTCCAACGGTCCCTTCAGACAATGAATACCAGATGTGGAGGCACGTACACAGCACAAGCCCAGCCAGCCCGGAGACCCGCTATAAAACCTGGGTTTTCGGCAATTAAGATTTTTGCAAACGGACAGGCAGCTTTTGTCCCAAATCGACCAATCGACAGCGACGTCGATCCGAGGATCCTGGGTACTTAGACACCCCACGAGAGTTGGTCTCGGTGGCGTCGTTGGGACGAAGATGCATTCCTGATTGAGACCTCATCGAGGAAGGGAATAGCGCCTTACGATCAGTACACGTTTGAGTTAGAACAAGCATATCTATCCTCCTGTTGACCCTGGATTCGTTATCGAACCTAAGACCATTATCACCAGTGTCGCGAGTGCCTAATCACCGCTGTTGATTGTCGAATCGGTAGTGTTCATACTCGTAGTATCAGGCCGTACCGTCGCTATAACACAGCGATGGCCATTCCAATGGAGATCCAGCAAATGCCCACAACTCTATTCCTGACGCTTCTCTGACATATATATGTCGGGGACGAAAGGACGTCGAAGCCGTCCCTCCGGAACTTCGGGAAAATCCGTAATATTGCAATTAAAGTTTACAGTCCTAATTAAACAATTTTCCGTCATCCTGCCCAATTGTACTTGTTTCCGATTTGTGATAATAAACTTGGACTTAAGGCGACCACCAGTCGCCGAACGTAGCCGCGGTCAACGGGACGGGCGTTCCGTCCAACAAAGGCGCGGAGTTACAGTATGACCCTCATTAAAAGAAACACCCATAGAGGTACTTGACAGTAAAACATTCCAACGGTCCCTTCAGACAATGAATACCAGATGTGGAGGCACGTACACAGCACAAGCCCAGCCAGCCCGGAGACCCGCTATAAAACCTGGGTTTTCGGCAATTAAGATTTTTGCAAACGGACAGGCAGCTTTTGTCCCAAATCGACCAATCGACAGCGATGCTGATCGAAGTAGCTGGCGTACCTAGATACACTACCAGAGGTTGTCTCGGTGGTGACGTTGGGATGAGCATTCATTCCTTCGGGAGCCCTCATCGACGAAGGGACCAACACCGCTTGATCCGCGAGTAATACACGTTCGAGTCAGTCAGTCTATCTCTCCTCCCGTTGACCGCGGATTCGTTACCGGACCTAAGACCAACGTCGCTAACATCGCAAGTGCCCAATCACCGCTATTGATTGTCGAATCAGTAGTGTCCCTACTCGTAGCATCAGGCCGCGTCTTCGTTATCACACAACGATGGCCAACTCCAAGGGAGGTCTATCAAACGCCCACAACCCTGTTCCTGACTCTTCTCCGACATATATGTCGGAGATGAAAGAACATCGAGATTTCCCGTCTGGAATGTTAGAAAAAACTCAATACCCTAGTCCAGACTTTTACTATAGCTACGCTTAAGTAATAAAAATAAGAAATAGTTTTAATGTTCCAATCTGGCTTTATGGCGATGGGTTCGGGCTCGAAGTGACATAGCGGGTCATTGAACGTAGCCGCGGTCACGGAAGGGACGTGTACCTGACAGAAGTATGGAATGATTATAATGGTTCTCCTTAAAAACAAAGATCGACCCGAGAGGTGGGGACAGGAATATATAAGGGCAGTTCCACTTGGATTTTTTTGGAGTTCATGCAGATAAGTTTATTTGTACGTGGAGTCATACGTGTCGCATTCATCATCCCGTTGATCGTGAATTCATTATCGAACCTAAGGCCTAAGGTAAGGATTACGGTAAATTGTTTAATTACAACTGTAAACTTTAATTACAACTTTACGGATTTTCCCGAAGTTCCAGAGGGAAGGCTCCGGTGTCCTTTCCTCTCCGATATATAATAAATTGAAAATCGTTTCATCTGTTAGATATTATAATGCATATTTTGCTTTCTCTTCTGCATTATTTATATGCAGATTCGGATACTTTTCTATTTCGAGATTTCTCGCAAATGCATGGAATCGCAGTCTGATAACAATATGTTATTTTTAACGAAGAGATTTATGTAAACCCGTATGTTATTATCAGTCTCGCTGCTGGGTACATTGAAAATGAAATATTCAGTTGGTTTGCTAATGAAAACCGGGCTTGCAATACAATTTTCGAATTATGATAAATCATAATTCCGTTTTCTTCACGCCATATAGCCATACGTAGATTACTTTATTCTTTGCACGCAAACACGGTTGCTTCTATTTAATGATACAAACAAATTATTTTCACTGCATGAATTTTCAGCATATTGAAACGATTGCCGCATAATTTCATTTTTGACCTTGAGGCGTAAAAGTCAATCGTTTGTTGAGGGGTGGTTCAGAAGAATTATCTGAAACGATACGATGCGCTCGAACGATATTGAAAACGTATCGCGTTAGATTACAGAGTTCAACGTACAATTTATTCCTTTCTCCTCCTACGTTACTTTCCTGATGACGTTCATCGTGGCCATTGTCCTTATTATCCTGCTGCTCGCGTTCGTTTACTATAATTGACTCACTTGTAATCTCCCACTGTATAAAACCGAAAAAAGAGATATTTGCTCTCCGTTTGTCTAATTATTTAACGTTTTTAACATTTTTAATTGTTTAACATTTTCGTATCATCCGATAGACATTATAATTCGATGAAAGGAAAATTGAATTTCCAATCACTCACGAATTAATCCTTGAGAAATGAAAGATTTCACGGCCTATTTCACTAAAAAATTCAGTCTGTTTGCGTAAGTGTTTTACCATCGTCTGGATGTAAATGTAAAATATTACATCGGCGTTTGATAAAAATCATACGACTTCAGAAACACCTATGATTCATGTTCTTTGTCTTTAATAATGCTATGAAACTGCTTTTTTCAGATAACTGCTCAATTGCTAAATACTGCTCAGACTAAAAGAATTTAATTGATTTTGTTGACACAGCGATGTCTTTTAAACTGATTTTTTGATAATGACATAATAAAAAATGCCAGAGTAGAGGCGTCTAATTGCACTGCACGAAGGACATCCTTGTATGTAATCTGTGACGCAAATTGTCTTAAGGATTTTTACTCTATTATCGATTCAATCATTCGTACCAAATTTAAATCTTAAGATTTAAAGAAAGAAAGATTAAAGAAATAAGAAGAATTAAAAGAAAATGATTTTGACAAGGCACCAAAGGCTGCGTCTATCTTACCTTACACATAAGCTTGAGAAAGTCCTTCCAAATGATATCTTAAGTCTCAAAAACAATTTACGGCCTTTGCGAAAAACTGTACAGCCTTGTATGCACTCGAAATCAACGAAGAATTCTTTATCAAGGACCTAATTACTAGGAAAATCGATCGTAAACAGCAAATTCTATTACACAGTTTCAGACTTGGCCATATCAGACTCACACACGCATATCTAATTTCTTAACCAAACCCATCAATTTGCGACATCTGTACGATTCTTCAAATTACCCTAAACATATGTCGGGGATGAAAGAACATCGAGATTTCCCCTCTGGAATGTTAGCAAAAAACCCAATACCCTAGTCCAGACTTTTACTATAGCTACACTTAAGTAATAAAAATAAGAAATAGTTTTAATGTTCCAATCTGGCTTTATGACGATGGGTTCGGGCTTGAAGTGACATAGCGTAGCGTCACTGAACGTAGCCACGGTCATGCGAGGGACATGTACCTGACAGAGGTATGAAATGATTATAATGGCTCTCCTTAAAAACAAAGATTGACCCGAGAAGTGGGGACAGGAATATATAAGGGCAGCTTCATTTGGATTACGAGTTAGTTTGTTAGTTAGTCGTTGGGCGAACTGCTGATTGAGTTATCGAGAGAGTTATTATTATCGAGAATCGTGTGTTACGTTGGCACACGTCATCCCGTGTATCGAACCTGAATTCGTTGTCACCATCATCTCGATCATCCTATCGCTGCTATTACTCATAGCCTCTTGTAGTGTCCACATTTGTACCAATAAAGATTAGCTACATCCGCGATGGTAAATTGAATAAAGGTTCATCGAACGCCCCAAAATTCCAACCCTAATCCGACATATAGTTAGTATCGCAACAAATACCAGATCTGTGAAACTTGAAGTGAAAATCTCTGTGACGAAAGTCAAGTTTCAAGCGCTTTCTTCTTTCAGAAGGACACATCGTTATTTAACAAAGTCTAACTAATAAATCTCAGTCTCTGACCACGTTGTCGCTGATAATAACCACGTAGGTGATTTTATACTTAAAAATTTCAGAAAAAAATGTTCATCGTCCACATTGTGACTCATGTTAAAGTGAACTCTTAATTTCTATGACAATAACATCGTAAAAATAAATATGAACAAACGTACGACCACGATTAGTTACTTTTTCTGATCGGCGAGGCGACTAACGTTACCAACGGAAGTCGGTGTTTACGCAGTGTGAATTTGCTTCGTAATCAGCGGAGAATCAACAATTAACGTCGTCTGATTCCGCGAACATCTTGTCATTTCGAGTCAACGCCATCGACCACGACCACGTTACACGTGTTCTTTGTTTTAAGGAAGCGCCTGTATGGAATAACATCGTCCTTGCCGATCCCGATAGTACTTGACGCGATCTTACCTTGTGGCATCGTACAAGAGGTAGAACGGCCATGCAGAGAAGGACAAGGGCACGAATCATTTTGCGTGAAAATATTCCTGATGGGCTGCGTCACATCGCTGAAACACGAAATAAGGAGTCTGTTTAAATGGATGGTTCGACGAATTAATCAAGTGGCTACTTTATCGTGAATACCTGACGCTAATTATGTCGAGTAAAAGTTAATGTATAAAATAATAGAATGAGAGAAAAAGAATGTTATATACAATTCCAAATTTCAAGTCTTACGTTAAAAGGTATGAGAAATATATTTAACAAATATAAAATATATTTCTCTGTTTAAAAAAAGCTGTTCTATACATAATTCCCACGTAAGTGAGAGAGTAAAAATTAAACGAAGAAATGGGAAAAACTATTTATAAGATTACTGACATCTCGAGAGTAATCTATCTGTGAATTATTTTTGCATACAAGGGATACAAACGTCTCATATAAATGACACGTTTATATTTCAAACTCGCATGGAGCACTTATTTCAGTTAATAACGGAGAGCGGTCTTACACTGAAATTATAGACTCCATTATATAAATTGCCGACAGATTTGCCAAGAATGATACACATAAAGATGAAGTCAGTTTTTAGTTTGTATAATGAGACTTATATGGTGCAATTTTAGCTGAACAACATAATGGTACACATGGAATTTACATAAGAAAGTAATCGAATAATAGGAAATGTGTTTGCAACAAATCATTTTCTGGTACGGGGTTACAGATATTTTTGTCAATTTTGATTTAACCAAATGAAGTATTTTGATACGATCGTTTATAAATTTCTTTCATAATTGTCCGCGGATGTTTCTCTAAAATATCAATGTTTAAATATTAAATATTTTCTTATTAAATATTAAATTCAAATATTAAATTAACTCTTTCCATAAATAAGAGCAAGATCAAATTATAAAAATTCTAGGATCGTAGCAAAGTTGAAAAATGTCTCGAAAGGGTTGATTCTGCGCCAAACATTTATCGTAGATATCGCGAGCAAAGTAGTATTCTATTCACGATCCGATGCAACATCGCCGTTAGAATATTGCGCTAACGAGGGGCCAGACAGGCAGCAACAATTTGCTCGCTGGCCAGAAACTGATATCTCTCACGGTAGAAATGTAATTACCACGAGTCGCGAGCGGCGATGAAGAAACCCGCGCGCGGTTACATAATTTTCGCCGCACCCGCTGCGCAACGCGCTCGTAAACGAAAGAAGAAACACGGAGAAAAAAGCCAGACGAAAAGACAAAGAGAGAGAAAAGGAGGAAGGAAGAAAGGAGAAACATCGAGACGAAACAACGACTAACCTATATGATGGGTTCACGCATGCCTGCGACTAAACCTGCGACAAACACGAGCGGGAGGTGGCGTTTTAACGTGAATAGGACAGGCGACGATCCCGGAAGGAAAGTTGAATCGCATCGAATTAACGCCCACGTCGCGCGTCAAAACGAAAACTTTCGATCGCTGCATCGTAAAAATCGCGAAACTTCAATGGGGTCGTTGCGAAGTGGAAGGGGAAATATGGTGCGGTTAGCGTTAACAAAAGAACGATCTTTATGTCGATCGGTCAACGAAAGTTAGTATTAATACGATAGAGATTAGATCACGAGGTAACTCGTTAGTTTTATCAAAACTGGATTTTATTATAAGAAGAATTTTTTGACGCAATGATACGTGATAACATATGTGATATGTATGGTAAGAGGTGAAACTAAACAAATATGATAAGGTATAAGCCGATACTTTCGATCCGTTGATTTTATGGCTGATTTTATAGTCCTCTTATTCGTTTCGCTTTTTTCATTTATTTAACTTCTGAAATTAATATTTTAGCCAGATATACGTGATTCAAAGTCGATTTTGAATTGAAATTCAATTTTGTGAAAACTTTTTACGTTGTTGATATTGGAAAAATGGACAATTTTCGTTACGTATAGTTAATGAATATTTAACGAAGTTAGTTAATGGAAAATTTAGAATAAAAAAAGGAAGTACATATAAAGTTTCTCGTAATGAGATGCAGGATTCATCATTAATTTTGCTATAGGTCAATATACATATGTATAAAGATAAATGCACGCATGTATAGAGATATTATACAATAAAGATACAAATTTACAGCTTCCCACATTCTATTCAATAATTTTATTAAGGATGCTATCTTGTATATTAAAAATTTTGATTTCCATAGGTGATATAAATTTTTCTTTTCCAAGTAGACAAGGTATCAGACAATTTTTTTTGTAAAGCAATATGGCTAATAATACGTAAAAAAACAAGCTTACAGTGAATTGCAAAGGTGTGTTTTGAAGCGAAGATTAATTCAGTTCTAGAAGATTTATTTTCACCGAAAGTGAAACCTCACGAGGAAAATTTTATTGTGCTGTAGATTGCATTCTTGCAAGAGCGTAAATGCGCATATCATTAATCTTGGTAGTGAAGTGATGCTGTTGCAAATGCTTTGGCATTTTAAACAAGGAGAAACGATTACAATAACAAAGTACTGTGTAATAACATCTTTTACTTGCATTCCTCGTACATGCTTAAAAAGATTTTGTTTAAATCATCGTATTTCCTTATTTATGTATACGTATTTGTTCACGCGGACTAATTGACGTTCCTATGTCGATATATTCTCTAAATATTAATTTTAGATCGAAATGAAAAATCTTTGAAACAGGAAAAATGACCTTTAGACATCGACGTTGAATCAAAAATCGATCATCTATCGCTAAAATAGTGATCTATTCGCTTAAATACATATTATACGTACTTAATGCGTACATATGTTGCCCTTTAATTCAAATGTAAGTATTATAATTCTTTATGCAAAAAATACGAAGCATATAATATAATAAATATAATACAATATAATAATATTAAAATAGACTAATAAAAAGTACAAAACAAATAATTCACAAAAATGTAAGTAATGTTTTCCTCTTTTAATATTTTTTTATATGTTTTTATATCCTATAGTATATACCGTATATATATGTATCTATACAAATATTTTTATCAATATAGAGAAACTCTTTAACAAATCCACGTTTCTTTTGAACTAAATAAATATAGTCTCTGCGAAACAAATATACCATGGATCAGGATTTTCAATCAGTTTCACATTAGTGTTTTAAACCGACAGTCATTGTATCCGTAGCAATAAAGTAACGTGTTTAAGCAACTCATTTGTCGATGATAACGCTGCTCTTAAGTCGGGAACTTTCTCGAGGAAAAAAGAGTTGCTGACTTCTGTCGTAATTAAAACCCGTGTATATTTTACAGGGAGTTGAAACGCGTTTAACATCGTAAAGTAATTGAAATTAAGCAAAACCAAACTTTCTACCATGGCTGAAAATGTACGTATATTCGTATATTGAAATTCCACTGTGAATTTAATAAACTCGTATATCACGTGCAGCGAAAACTTTAATGGTTGAACGGTAAAAAAGAATTACCATGTTTCGAGCAGTCTGGTTACCATATATGTATAATAACCGGAAATTCCATTTGCATTCAATGGAACATATTGTGGGGCGGTAAATATGGTCGAAACTTTTTTAATGGTGCTGTACAAACTATTCGATACGGCAAATAATTCGTTCGATAGGCTAAGTACTTAAAATGATTACCGTAATATTAAACAGTACTCTTTGCCATCACTTATCGGTTTTACAACTGAGAATGATAATAAAGTATGATAAAACCTTTACCGATAGTCAACTTTCTATTTGTTCTTAAGTCGTCTTACTCTTACGAATATTACGTAACAGACAGGGAGCAGTGTCGTGTTAGTCACAATGACACGAGATCACGATCTACGATCTTTTCTAAAGATATGATCGTGCATTATATACTTGCTATACGTAGATCGATATTATACAGAGTCGTGAATAGGGAAAAATGGCAATTGATATTTCTTTCTTAAATACTATTATAGATAAGCTCTGTGCTGTTATACTCTGCTATCTATTATCCAACTTCAAACGATAGCATTGGGCAACCTGTTTTAGATATTGGAAAAGCCTGCAATCTGTATGTTTAGAATGGGATATTAGTAGAAATAACAATACGTTAAACGGAAAAAACGTAGAAAGCACAATAGCTGCGAGAATAGAACAGAAACAGAAAGATAATATACAGGGTGGTTGGTAATTGCTGGTACAAGCGGAAAGGGGGTGATTCTACGCGAAAAAAGAAGTCGAAAATATAGAATAAAAATTGTTCGTTCGAGGCTTTGTTTTCGAGAAAATCGACTTTGAATTTTCGCTCGGTACGCCTGCGGTACGTTATAACGAATCTCACTGTAGATCGTTGTCTCGATGGAAAAATTAAAAAAAAAAAAGAAAAAAAAAACCTCTTTTTTTACGTGAAGGGAACGTTCATAGGCACCCGCGCTCGCCGGTGAGTGGGTGCGGGGTAATACCGGAAAAAAAAACTTTTTTTACGTGGGGAAAATCTTCATCCACACCTTATCTCATCGCACGGAGCGGGACAAGGGTGTCGGATTTCTATCGGCTAAAAAAATCGGTCGGGCCTAGGTGTAGTAGTCCGCAACGAGTGAAACCGTTCTCCGGTGGTACTTCCCAAACACTCATAGAAAAAGCACAACAACATAGTAGGCAAGGGCGGTCGGGAAACCCACTTGCCCGTTGTTATATACTTCTTAGATGATATTTGGTTTTCCACTTGGCTCGCCCAAGAGTGGTCTCGACCTCGCGACATCCTACTACCGCATACGCCCTTTACGAGCGTAGCTAGCGAACCCGCCGAGTATTTACTAGTTGTTGACTCATTATGTTCATCAAGTTGTCCTCATACTCTGGTATAAGAAAACTCTGGTCTTCAATATTGCTACAACGAACACGTGTTTTACAGCTGATGACCCAAGATGGTCACCTAAACCTCAAAATATAGAATAATAGAAAATATAGAATATATAGAATAGAGAACATAGAATAAAAATTTTTCGTTTGAGGCTTTGTTTTCGAGAAAAG